TGCTTGTCTTTGGTATCCATTTTTACTATCTGGGTCTTTTATTCCTCTTTCGGGAAAATGTTTTCTGTAAAGGACCAGGTGGAAAATATTTTCAGCTTTGTGGGCCAGATGGTCTCTGTTGCAGCTGCTCAGTTCTGTCATTGAAGGGTGAAAGAAGCCTTAGACAATTCTAAAAGGATGGGCGAGGCTAGATTTGGCCTGGATTCTACAGTGTGCCAGCTCCTGCCCCAAATAACATTTTAAATCCTGCTCCATCATGCCAAAGACTTTCCTGTCTGCCTTCTTCCACAGTCATAACTTCCAGTTCTGGAGTTGAAAGTGCCAGCTTGTGCCCTGATTTCCTTTACAAAATGTTTCATTTGTTAGGAAACACATTTCAGGTTTCTTTAGACCCCATGTTTATCAGCAGAAGCCCCAGTAAGGCTCAATGAGTCTTGAGCTCTGACACACCTCAGATATATGTCCCAGGAGACTGGCCATACACTCTCAGTTAACTAGATTGCCACCCCACATTGAGGCGCTAACTAGTCATCACATCCCAGTATGCGTATCACCACCATATTGTTTTGTAGACCATTGACTGAAGATGTACTGTGAGCCAGACACTGAGCTAGGCACTTTATATGCATTAGACTGTGTAATCCTTATAAGCATACAGTAAAGTAGCCACAGTGTCACCTCATTTTCACAGATGAAGAAACAGATGTTGGGAGATCCAGGGCTGTACCTGTTTAACATTGCTAGTAAGAGGCAAAGCTAGACTTGAACTAGCTTCGTTCAACTCCCCTTGTGCTAAAAGTATATACATACACCCATCTATCTGTCCATCCAGCTGCATTTCAACCATATGTACTGAAAGCCATGGAATCAGATTTTCCCTCCCAGTTTTTCTTAGTTTTATTGAGCCAACCTGTTAACCCTAGTTCCAAGACCTCTCAGTGCCGTAGAATGTCTTCCTTTGGGACAGTTTTTTTTCCTCATCTTTTCTAGGATACAAAACTGTTTCATCCTCTCTTATAAGTTGGTATGTGAAAAGGCATATCATAGGCTCTTGCACTGGCAGGGACTTAAATTTGTAGCACATGTGCTTGAGATAGGACGAAGACAAATACAGTATACCATCTGCAGTGTCTCTCCTTTCTGGGTAAGGACATGAGGTAGAGTTGTTTTTAGCTTCCCATAAAGGATGCCTCCTAGAAATTTCTAAGGTAAGCTAATGGTTTCCTTTGCCTTTCTGCCACTCTGTTGTACTTAACTAAGTGGCACCCTCTATTAGGTGTTAGTACTAGTGCTAAACCCTCCAGTCCGAGTTAAGCCGGACATACTCCACTAGGCTCAGAGGGACCTTTGAACAGAATATTTAAGACTTTGGGGTCATGAGACTGTTGTCTCTATAATTTCATAGTAGAGCTTTCCCAGTTTTCCTCTGAATTCTTTTTTTTTTTTTTTGAGAGATTTTTGCTATAGGACACATGCACTTGCCAGAAAGACAGAGAGAGACAGAGAGATAGAAAGTGAGAAATCATGCCCTAGGGGGGGATGGCCACGCCGCACTCCATTCTCTTCCATTCTCCTCTTGGGATCTTGGGCATGCATGTACATGCACCTGACATGAGTTTAAGCCACCAGCTCTGGGACTCGAACCATGGTCGACTACATGGGAGTCCAGCGACAAAGCCATTATGCCAACCGCTGGTCCCAGTACACTGAATTCTACAGGACATATCACAGATATATAATTTGTATAGCCCCAAAGCCATATACCTATAGTAGTACACTGGAAAGTATGCCAAGTTAGTGACATCCTCATCTATAATGTCAAGTTTAAAGGAATTCTGTTGATAGACTTCTTGTTAGTCATTTTTAGATTTCAGTATTGAGTACTAAAAATATGTATTATTTTTCATCTAATTAGGAGCCATATAGTGAAGACAATGTCTGGAAGCTACTACTTTGTAATTGTTGGCCACCATGATAATCCAGTTTTTGAAATGGAGTTTTTGCCAGCTGGGAAAGCAGAATCTAAAGTGAGTATGGAACCTTAAATTCCATAAGAATTTTCATGCTGTTGTAATAATGTGGTATAATATGATTTTAGAATTGGAAGAGATCTTGATGGATGAGGTAAATGAAATCTACCACAATTATAATAAATGAGGCTTTCCCTGGAGTTCCACAGACTCAATAGAAGCCAGCCCGGGAGTGTCCTTGGAGTTGTTTATCCTTTAATTCAGCATGCATACACTTTGCACAGACTAGCACGATACTGTGGGTCTGTTTCCTATGATCCTCAGTTCACTGGGTCACCCACTATGAAGTGCTGCTTCTTTTTTTCGCTAGGTAGGAGGGGCCAAAGGGCCCTGTAAAATGCCTCTCCTTAAAAAAATTCTAAAAAGTAAAAAAATAAAAAAAAGAGAGAGCGAGAGCGAGAGAGAGGACAGAGACAGACGTAGAGAGAGACAAAGGCAGATAGAGACAGGAGACTTGAAAGGGATCTTCCTACCACGCGAGTTCTGGATGCTGGAGGCCCAGTTATCAGTGGGACATCTTCCTTTCTCCCCAAATGGCTAGATCACAGGAGCCATGGAGCTGGCTGCCTCTTGAAGAAGGGCTGTTCTGGGAGGAGGAGAGGGGATTATTAACAAGATAAAGCGCTAGGTAGGAGGGGCCAAAGGGCCCTGTAAAATGCCTCTCCTTAAAAAAATTCTAAAAAGTAAAAAAATAAAAAAAAGAGAGAGCGAGAGCGAGAGAGAGGACAGAGACAGACGTAGAGAGAGACAAAGGCAGATAGAGACAGGAGACTTGAAAGGGATCTTCCTACCACGCGAGTTCTGGATGCTGGAGGCCCAGTTATCAGTGGGACATCTTCCTTTCTCCCCAAATGGCTAGATCACAGGAGCCATGGAGCTGGCTGCCTCTTGAAGAAGGGCTGTTCTGGGAGGAGGAGAGGGGATTATTAACAAGATAAAGCGCTAGGTAGGAGGGGCCAAAGGGCCCTGTAAAATGCCTCTCCTTAAAAAAATTCTAAAAAGTAAAAAAATAAAAAAAAGAGAGAGCGAGAGCGAGAGAGAGGACAGAGACAGACGTAGAGAGAGACAAAGGCAGATAGAGACAGGAGACTTGAAAGGGATCTTCCTACCACGCGAGTTCTGGATGCTGGAGGCCCAGTTATCAGTGGGACATCTTCCTTTCTCCCCAAATGGCTAGATCACAGGAGCCATGGAGCTGGCTGCCTCTTGAAGAAGGGCTGTTCTGGGAGGAGGAGAGGGGATTATTAACAAGATAAAGCGCTAGGTAGGAGGGGCCAAAGGGCCCTGTAAAATGCCTCTCCTTAAAAAAATTCTAAAAAGTAAAAAAATAAAAAAAAGAGAGAGCGAGAGCGAGAGAGAGGACAGAGACAGACGTAGAGAGAGACAAAGGCAGATAGAGACAGGAGACTTGAAAGGGATCTTCCTACCACGCGAGTTCTGGATGCTGGAGGCCCAGTTATCAGTGGGACATCTTCCTTTCTCCCCAAATGGCTAGATCACAGGAGCCATGGAGCTGGCTGCCTCTTGAAGAAGGGCTGTTCTGGGAGGAGGAGAGGGGATTATTAACAAGATAAAGCGCTAGGTAGGAGGGGCCAAAGGGCCCTGTAAAATGCCTCTCCTTAAAAAAATTCTAAAAAGTAAAAAAATAAAAAAAAGAGAGAGCGAGAGCGAGAGAGAGGACAGAGACAGACGTAGAGAGAGACAAAGGCAGATAGAGACAGGAGACTTGAAAGGGATCTTCCTACCACGCGAGTTCTGGATGCTGGAGGCCCAGTTATCAGTGGGACATCTTCCTTTCTCCCCAAATGGCTAGATCACAGGAGCCATGGAGCTGGCTGCCTCTTGAAGAAGGGCTGTTCTGGGAGGAGGAGAGGGGATTATTAACAAGATAAAGCGCTAGGTAGGAGGGGCCAAAGGGCCCTGTAAAATGCCTCTCCTTAAAAAAATTCTAAAAAGTAAAAAAATAAAAAAAAGAGAGAGCGAGAGCGAGAGAGAGGACAGAGACAGACGTAGAGAGAGACAAAGGCAGATAGAGACAGGAGACTTGAAAGGGATCTTCCTACCACGCGAGTTCTGGATGCTGGAGGCCCAGTTATCAGTGGGACATCTTCCTTTCTCCCCAAATGGCTAGATCACAGGAGCCATGGAGCTGGCTGCCTCTTGAAGAAGGGCTGTTCTGGGAGGAGGAGAGGGGATTATTAACAAGATAAAGCGCTAGGTAGGAGGGGCCAAAGGGCCCTGTAAAATGCCTCTCCTTAAAAAAATTCTAAAAAGTAAAAAAATAAAAAAAAGAGAGAGCGAGAGCGAGAGAGAGGACAGAGACAGACGTAGAGAGAGACAAAGGCAGATAGAGACAGGAGACTTGAAAGGGATCTTCCTACCACGCGAGTTCTGGATGCTGGAGGCCCAGTTATCAGTGGGACATCTTCCTTTCTCCCCAAATGGCTAGATCACAGGAGCCATGGAGCTGGCTGCCTCTTGAAGAAGGGCTGTTCTGGGAGGAGGAGAGGGGATTATTAACAAGATAAAGCGCTAGGTAGGAGGGGCCAAAGGGCCCTGTAAAATGCCTCTCCTTAAAAAAATTCTAAAAAGTAAAAAAATAAAAAAAAAGAGAGAGCGAGAGCGAGAGAGAGGACAGAGACAGACGTAGAGAGAGACAAAGGCAGATAGAGACAGGAGACTTGAAAGGGATCTTCCTACCACGCGAGTTCTGGATGCTGGAGGCCCAGTTATCAGTGGGACATCTTCCTTTCTCCCCAAATGGCTAGATCACAGGAGCCATGGAGCTGGCTGCCTCTTGAAGAAGGGCTGTTCTGGGAGGAGGAGAGGGGATTATTAACAAGATAAAGCGCTAGGTAGGAGGGGCCAAAGGGCCCTGTAAAATGCCTCTCCTTAAAAAAATTCTAAAAAGTAAAAAAATAAAAAAAAAGAGAGAGCGAGAGCGAGAGAGAGGACAGAGACAGACGTAGAGAGAGACAAAGGCAGATAGAGACAGGAGACTTGAAAAAGAAGGGCTGATCACGCGAGTTTTGGATGCTGGAGGCCCAGTTATCAGTGGGACATCTTCCTTTCTCCCCAAATGGCTAGATCACAGGAGCCATGGAGCTGTCTGCCTCTTGAAGAAGGGCTGTTCTCGAAGTGCTGCTTCTTAAGCACACAGAAATACAGTCCAGCCCATAGCGGGTCTAGAAGAACAGTCATTGCTGTCCTAAAATACCTTGAGTCCATCCTATGTCAGTGAATCACATTTGTCATTAGGACAGACATAGTAGATTGATTTATGCCCCAAGAGAGACCCTTACTTCCATGTCCTCCTGCTGCCACCAGATCTCTAGCACCTTGTCTTCAGCACTTCTTTGCTGGGTGGTGCCCTAATGGATTCCTCCCCAGTGACGCCCTGGCCATGCACAGGAAACGCAAAGCAGTGCCAGAGTAGATGCCTGACTTTCTTATGGCCAGCAATGGTTCCAGGAAAACAAGGGTGGTTCAACAACATGTTGCTGCTCAGAGTAAACAGAACTGGAGAGCCTGGCAATGAGACTATCCTGGTCTCCTTCATTTTTTTGTACTAGTATGTGTTCCTTAAAAATTGCTGACCAGTGTGCTATGTTGTTTCCAGCCTTCAAAAATAGACTTTAAAGTTCTTTAAGACAAGACATTGACTTTTAAAATTAATTGTAATGTATAATGTTCAGTGTATGATGCTTTTTTACCATTCAGGTCTTTCCACCAAAATATGACAGTAATTTGTTGAAGGTATCATCTACCAGTGTTGTTACCACATTGTTTCCCACATACTTATAAGAACATTGCTCATTGAAACTCTTTTGAGGTGTCTCTGTAGCAGTAGTTGCTTTGTGGGACACAGCTATGTATATGGTTTCTGTGTACTCCTATGGCCTTTTGGTGGGCAAAGCAGTGCATGTAAAAAGACTTTGTCACATGACTTGATCTTAGTTCTTTCCCTGCTACCACTCACTACCTTAAAACATTTCTACAGTTTGCCCCTAATCTCTCAAGATTGACCATTAAAGTAATGGAAAACACTGCTGTGAGCCAGACACAAAATACATCCACTTCTCTAAGGAGTCAGTTAGCTTTGTCATGGCAACATGAGTGAAGTAAACATGCTTTAGCTGTGCGAGGGATTCCAGGGCAGCCTTCCTCCAGCCCAGTATAGAGGTCATACTAGTTTACTGCAGCTGTTGTAATATAAAGTTCCAAAAGCCAAGTGGCTTAGAACAGCAGAAATGTATTCTCTCACAGTTCTGGGGGCCAGAAGTCTGAAATCAAGATGTGGGCAGAGCAC